AAGAGAGATAGAGTGAAAGAATGAGAGAGTGAAAGTTAGAGAAAATAAAATCAAAATAAGAAATAATAAGGTAAATGGAAGGGAAAGATTGAAAGAAAGACGGTAATAGAATGAAACATAGAGAAAGAAAAAATGTAAATGAGAAAGATTAAGAAACAAAGTAAGAGAATGTGTGAAAAAGTGAGGATGAAAGTATGAAAAAAAGAGAGAATGAGTGAAAGGTATGGATAGAAATAAGGAAAGTAATAAAGTGTAAGTTTAAGAAAAATAAGTATTTTGAATGAAAGAAATGTAGATAAAAATAAAGAAAGTGAAAAGGAAGAGGAAGAGTGAAATGAAGAGGGTGATTTAGTGAAGGTTAATGGAAGAGAGAGTGAAAGATCGAGTGTGAGAACGAGAGAGAATGAGTGAAACAGAGAAAGGAAAAGAGAGATTGTGTGAAATTTAGAAAGAGGATAATTAATGCTCGCAAGTGTATGGGAAAATTGCATCCGAATGTAGGACATTTTCACCATTAACTTTTCCATAACTTTTTCTAACGTGGTATGATTGTGGAGGCGCGAGGTGTGTGTTTGTTTGCGGTGGTTGCCCTGGCAACCGGAAGGTCTCTAGTGCCAAGCCTCATCTTCGCGATGTTCTACGTCTTGAGCCATTTTTCGGTACATTTATGGGGAAAATGCAACATTTTCGCGTCAATTGTGTGAAAAATTCTCGCTCACAACACACCCACAAATGCAGCGAATTGTTCATTTTCGTGTACAAGTGGGCGTCCAGACTGCTTTGCGCCGACTGTATGTTTCTGGCGATGCATTTTTCTGCTGAAGCAATGAACAATGCAAGAGGTCAAGCGAAATCACACTCCTTCAGCCGGTCTACGCCAGTCGCTGGTCCGTGCGTCTGTGTGTGTGTGTGCGGCGAAATAGCGCTTATCTCCTCAAGTGGTTGGGACGCATGTTTTCGATGACCCAAAGGTCGAAATTTGACGTGTCAACACACTTGCGCCTCCTCCATTCGAGGGTCTATGCATCCTTTCTTCACACTCTTTCATCCAATCACATCTCCACTCCAGCACTACTCAGTACTACTCATCACACACACACACATTCTTGTGCATCTGTGAGACAAACTGGCCTGTTGGGTGGATGAAATGTGTGCATAAATGGCACAAATTGTGTTAAAATTGGGTGTGAATGTCGTCAAAAGTGTGCAACAACGCGTCTTCGTGGGGCGCTGAGTTGGCTCGTTGAAGCGCAATGTTGTCGACAACGCAAAAATGGTTCCAGACGTCGATGGGCAAACGAGCCTGTCGAAGGCGTCGGGTGTCTTTTGTCATTCTCATGTCGGCTTGTCTGGTGTTCATTTTGTCCGCGTTCATCCTCGAGATCGCCAGCCTCTTCAGCGCCAAATGGAAAGGATACCGCCTGGCCGGTCTGGCGCGAGTGCCGAGTCCCCATGACGAGACGGAGTTCAGTCGCTACAGGGGACTGTTGTTCGAGTGTCTCATGAACGAAACCAATTACGACAGTGAGCAACATCTCTGCCATTCCTATTTTTTCACATGACTCAATTGCCATTTAGTTGTCATGGCATTCAGCAGTTTAGCAATTGCCAATTATGCATACATTTATATAAATATACAAAAAAAATTTAACTATTAACAAGCAAACAAATAAATAAATATCAATATATATACAAATATAACTTTAGATATATATATATTTATTTATTTTTATATTTATCTTTATATTTCACTTTCACACCCAAGCATCTCACGGACATTACCTGCACAACACACACGTACAATAGGACGCACGCACATGTGACAAGATTGCTGGGTCAAACAAATAAGTTAAAATGATTTGGGAGATGATGCAGTTGTTTATTTATTTATTTATTTATTTTCTTTATATTTCACTTTCACACCCACGATCTCACAGACATTAACTGCACAACACACACGTACAATAGGACGTACGCACATGTGACTACATTTCGGGGTCCAAAAAATCAGTTAAAATGATTTGGCATCTGATGCAGTTGTTTATTTATTTATTTATCCATTTATTTATATTTATATTTCACTTTCATACCCACGCATTTCACGGACATTGTCGGCACACAACACACGTACAATGCAAGACACGCACATGCGACAACATGACATCATAAATGGAAATTGTTAAAAAACTTGCCGGGATAGAGTTTTTCGGGTTACGGTATTGCCAGAAGAACCACATGTGCATTGTGGATGCTCTTGCGTCCTGTGAACTGGAGACGACTTGTTCGTCATTTCCACCATCCGATCGTCAAATTGGTACATTCACGCACGTCTCGCAGGCACAAATGCTGCTGTACCAAGTCAACGGTCGGATGGTGGAAGTCAGCAAGAAGCCTCGACGACCGAATGGTACCTTGCACAAGGTCAAGCGAAAGGAGACTGCAATTACGAAATACCAAAAGGAACCAAAAGGGTTTGCATGCCTCGCTTGAGGCAACATTGTTGCAAATCCACTTCAGTCAGCAGCTGAGAAAGGGATTGTCCAAGTCTGCTTTTGCTTCCAAACAGTTCGTGTAATCTGTTGATGCTTTCCTTGAGCCTAGCTGCAACCAAACCACACGATATCTGATCACGTTCAACATTAGTCGATTTGGGGAGATTAAAATGTCTACAGAATAGACAACACTCAGACACAACATGACGTCATGAATGGAAATTGTTAAAAAACTTGCCGGGATAGAGTTTTTCGGGTTATGCTATTGCGAGAAGACCCACATGTGCATGGTGGATGCGAAAAGTAATTGGGTTTCAATGAATCTCCTGAGACATCATTTTTGGGTAGAACATCGTTTCGTATGAAAATGCATTAAAAAAAGGGTCGAAATTCGATCAGAATCGCAGCGTTGGGGGTACCATCATTTCATATGAACGTCGTCTTCTGGTGGGATCGACCTTAGAGTTTTTTTAATGCTTTTTTATACGAAACGATGTTCTACCCAAAAATGATGTCTCAGGAGATTCATGTGGTTTTCCTCGCATTACCATAACCAAAAAATTCTATCCCCACAAGTTTTTTAACAATCTCCCTTTATGATGTCATGTTGTGTCTGAATGTTGTCTATTCTGTAGATATTTTAATCTACCAAAATCGACTAATATTGAACATGATCAGATCTCGTGTGGCTTGGTTACAAACAGGCTCAAAGAAAGCATCAACAGATTACACGAACTGTTTAGAAGCAAAAGCAGACTTGGACGATCCTTTTCTGAGCTGCTGACTGTAATGGATTTGCAACAATGTTGCCTAAAAAGCGAGGCATGGAAACCCAGTTTCATTTGGTATTTCATAATTGCACTCTTCTGTCGCTTGAACTTGTGGAAGGTACCATTCGGTCGTGTGACCTATGCCCTCTGCTACAGACACGGTTACTACGACTTAATTTGGGCGCAAAATGTCTCGGTCCTATTCTGATTCCTGACTTCCGGGGCTTCTTAGTCTGTATCTGCCGAGTCGTCCCAACCAACCCGTCGGACACATTCCGGAAGTCAAGGAAATCCACTTCAGTCTGCAGCTGAGAAAGGGATTGTCCAAGTCTGCTTTTGCTTCCAAACAGTTCGTGTAATCTGTTGATGCTTTCTTTGAGCCTGTTTGTAACCAAACCACACGAGATCTGATCACGTTCAGTATTAGTCGATTTCGGTAGATTAAAATATCTACAGAATAGACAACATTCAGACACAACATGACATCATAAATGGAAATTGTTAAAAAACTTGCCGGGATAGAGTTTTTAGGTTATGGTATTGCGAGGAAAACCACATGAATCTCCTGAGACATCATTTTTGGGTAGAACATCGTTTCGTATGAAAAAGCATTAAAAAAAACTCGAAGGTCGATCCCACCAGAAGACGACGTTCATATGAAATGATGGTACCTTTTTTTAATGCATTTTCATACGAAACGATGTTCTACTCAAAAACGATGTCTCAGGAGATTCATGTCGTTTTCCTCGCAATTCCATAACCCAAAAAACACTATCCCAAAAAGTTTTTTTAACAATTTCCATTTATTATGTCATTTTGCGTCTGAGTATTGTCTATTTTGTAGACATTTTAATCTACCCAAATCGGCTAATATGGAACTTGATCAGATGTTGTGTGGTTTGGTTACAACCAGACGCAAGGAAAGCATTAACAGATTACACAAACTGTTTGGAAGCAAAAGCAGACTTGGACAATCCCTTTCTCAGCTACTGACTGAAGTGGATTTCCTTGACTTCCGGAATGTGTCCGACGGGTTGGTTGGGACGACTCGGCAGATACAGACTAAGAAGCCCCGGAAGTCAGGAATCAGAATAGGACCGAGACATTTTGCGCCCAAAGTAAGTCGTAGTAACCGTGTCTGTAGCCAACTGTGCAAGGATAAGATCCTCAATTCATCCGGTAAAACTCTGGAGCATAGTTAATTAATTAGCTTTTACGGTAGATGTCTGAAGAGGTGGAGAATAGTATTGAGCTGGAAGTGGTTGCTCATTTCGATCAAGTAATCACGCCAAAACAATCTCGTGTTTTCACTATGGTAAATGTTATGAAGGCCGATAAAGGTGGAGCAGTAGTAGTCATGGGTATTTCAGGTTATGTATAAAAATGCTAGTTCATGTAAATAATATTAGCACACAACTAATTAGTTCACATAATAATATAATAAGTATTGATGCTATATCCATGTCATATGAGATGTATTCCCAAAAATTGTTCTCATTCAGGTGGGATTGTCGATGAAGCAAACGTATTTTTGCTATAACAATCAACTAGTTTGCTTTATTTTTCCAATCAAGTATTGTTTTTGTTACTGTCAGTAAATCAGTAGTATGAAATGTATTCATCCAATTTCGTGTAAGCTGATGAAGGACAATACGAAGAGAGACTGGGCTTCGAGATAAGATTGTTGGGATGAATCGCGTCTTGATTCTCATTCCTGTAAAAGTATCATGTTAAGAATAGATCAAAAATATTATCCGGCTCTATCTTATCTCTTACATAGACTCAATTAAGCTAAAAGAAAATAAGAAGCCTAGATATATAGATAGATAGATAAAAAGAAAGATAGCTAAATAGATAGATAGATAAAAAGATAGATGGATAGATAGAAAGATAGAAAGAAAGAAAGATAAAAAGATATATATAGATA